TTTGGCAACGTGCGTCGACGCACAAATCAAACGGATAGCACGGCCTGGAAGCAGTTTATTTTCTGTTAGAATGGCAACTTACGCGGACGCACGAATTAAACGGATGAAAGAAAAGTTTTTTCCAGTAAGAATGGCCTAATAGCATTGTTGAAGTTCGCGATATGTCCTTCTGGCCTTGTTTACCAGGGCCCTTCCGTTAAATATACGTTTCTGACGGTTTTTGTGGCAACGCGTGTCCAAGCACGAATCAAACGGATAGCACGGCCTGGAAGCAGTTTATTTTCTGTTAGAATGGCATAATCGGATTGTTGAAATTCGCGATTAAATTGTGCTTCACTCGGTGCGCTGGCTTTACCGAGATCCACTCGTCAAATATAGGTTTTTGACGGTGTGTTTGGCCACCTATCGCAGGTGCACAGTTTAAATAACTAGCACGGCCTGAAAGCCCAATTTTTTCCGGTTAAAATGGCGCAATCGGATTGTTGAAACTCGCGATGGGTCCTGCTGTTGTGAAGTTTGCGGGATCCATGTAGACACGTAATAGTATTGTTGAAATTCGCGACAAGTCCTGCTGGCCTTGTTTACCAGCTTGTTTACCAGGGCCCTCCCGTTAAATATACGTTTTTGACGGTTTCTTTGGCAACGTGCGTCGACGCACAAATCAAACGGATAGCACGGCCTGGAAGCAGTTTATTTTCTGTTAGAATGGCGTAATCGGATTGTTGAAATTCGCAGTTAAATTAGTTTACTTACTGTTAGAATGGCGGGGGATTGTTGAAACTCGCGATGGGTCCCATTGACCGTGTTTACCGGAGCCCTCCCGTCAAATGTACGTTTTTGCCGTTTTCTTTGGCAACGTACGTTTACGCACGAATGAAACGAATGAAACGGATGAAAGAAAAGTTTTTTCCAGTTAGAATGGCGTTGTTGACATTCGCATTATGTCCTTTTGGCCTTTTGAAACTCGCGATGGGTCCTGCTGTTGTGAAGTTTGCGGGACCCATGTAGACACGTCTTTTTTCGCCCAGAAAGAGACGAGCTAGCACGGCCTGGAAGCAGTTTATTTCCGGTTAAAATGGCGTAATCGGATTGTTGAAACTCGCGATTAAATTGTGCTTCACTTGGTCCGCTGGCTTTACCGGGATCGACTCGTCAAATATAGGTTTTTGACGGCGTGTTTGGCCACCTATCGCAGGTGCACCAGTAGTTTTTCCGGTTACAGAGGCGTATTAGGATCGTTGAAATTCTCGATAAGTCCCGCTGGCCTTGTTAACCGGAGCCCTTTCCTTTAATTACGTTCTTGACGGTGCGTCTGGCGACCTGTCATTGACGCACAATTTAAACGGATAGCACGGTCTGAAAAAAAAACCTTTTTTGGTCGGAATTGCAAAATCGAAATGTTGAAATTCGCGATATGTCCTTCTGGCCTTGTTTACCAGGGCCCTCCCCACTCGTCAAATATAGGTTTTTGACGGTTTCTTTGGCCACCTATCGCAGGTGGTCAGTTTAAATAACTAGCACGGCCTGAAAGCAAAATTTTTTCCGGTTAAAATGGCGTAATCGGATTGTTGAAACTCGCGATGGGTCCTGCTGTTGTGAAGTTTGCGGGACCCATGTAGACACGTCTGTTTTTGCCCAGAAAGAGATGAGCACAGCTTTTGTTACCGAGTCGGTTCAAAAGCACAGTTTACGCTCACTTTTTCGGCGTGCTCGGATTTAACTGTGCGTGACTGGGTCCCGCTGGCCTTGTTTCCTAGGGCCCTCCCGTCAAATGTACGTTTATGACGGTGCCTTTGGACACCTGTCATCGACGTAGGATTCAAACGGATAGCACTGCCTAAAACACACAGTAGTTTTTCCGGTTACAGAGGCGTATTAGGATCGTTGAAATTCTCGATAAGTCCCGCTGACCTTGTTTACCGGAGCCCTTTCCTTTACTTACATTCTTGACGGTGCGTCTGGCGACCTGTCATTGACGCACAATTTAAACGGATAGCACGGTCTGAAAAAAAAACCTTTTTTGGTCGGAATTGCAAAATCGAAATGTTGAAATTTGCGATGGGTCCCGCTGTCGTCGAGTTTGCGGGACCCATGTAAACACGTAATAGCATTGTTGAAATTCGCTAGAAATCCTGCTGGCCTTGTTTACTAGGGCCCTGCCGTCAAATATACGTTTTTGACGGTTTCTTTGGCAACTTACGCGGACGCACGAATTAAACGGATAAAAGAAAACTTTTTTCCAGTTAGAATGGCCTAATAGCATTGTTGAAATTCGCGATATGTCCTTCTGGCCTTGTTTACCAGGGCCCTCCCGTCCAATATACGTTTTTGACGGTTTTTGTGGCAACGCGTGTCCACGCACGAATCAAACGGATGAAAGAAAAGTTTTTTCCGGT